AGAGAGAGAGAGTGGAGGGCAAGCAACTTTTGAGATTTGGGAAGCCCTTTGATGATCTAAGTTAGGCTGTTTCGTCGAAAAGAGCACCATTGGAGTTAGGTTGCTTTGCCGGAGTGGTCTTCGTCGTCAGAGAAGATGATGAGTGGTCGGAGGAATGAAGAGGGTGATCTGGGAGAGAATGAATTTTGTTTAATTTGTAACTTAAGGCTTCTATAATTTGAGAAAGTCCTTTTTGATTTTATTCGTATAAATCATCATTTAGAATGCGGACTTTAAAGACGTCATTTTCAAGTGACGGTTTATGCATATCCAATGTTTTGTTCAACTTTGTCAAGTTAACAAAACATTTTTATGCCCTATCTCCATTAGGAAACCGTTTAAAATAACATTGTGAAGACATCATTATAAATGTCGTCCTCAAAGTCGTTATTTTAAATGATGTTTTATTAGTGATTCTAGCCAAATTTGAATTTTTTTTTTGAAGTTTGAAACTGTGAATTGAAATGATGTTTTTAACAATGAAGTCATCATTTCAAAAGACATTTTGAAAAAGAGAATGAGTTTGAGAAACAAGTCTAAAAATGACTGATTTGGGGAAATAAAAATTTGTGGGGCATGAGTACGGTAAAAAGCTCATGATTCTAAACACTAAGACCTTGCTAACTCAAATTAGCGTGAGGTTCTTAATCGTACCTATTCAGGCAACAAAAATAAGGCATAAGGTTACCTTTATATTTTTTTTTTGTCTCGAAGATGAAGGACTTAAACTATTCTTTTTTGGTGTGAATTAATGAACTAAAAAAGCAAAATGGGATGAAATTGAAAAGAAACAGTAATGAGCATGACAAAACAAAACAATTATATTGAACATTGTGTTTGAAATTAATTAAGGGTCCGTTTAGTTAGGAAGAAAAAAATTATGGAAATGAAAATGATAGAAAGTGAAGTGAAAGAAAAAAAATGATAGAAAATATATTTTCATACATGTATTTGATTAGAATGAAAAATTTACCGGAAATTTTTAAAAAAAATGCATTCTATTGTTTGAAAGAAAGAAAAGTTATAATAAATTTTTTATAATTGTCTAAATTACCCTCAATTATATTAAATCGGTTTAAAAAAGAAAAAAATATGTAATTATAATTAAAGTTAAAAATTTTTAAAAAAATGACTCAAAACTTAATTTTAAAGCAATCACCAATACAAAGATCTTTGGGCTAAATTATATAATTCATCAAATTCATACAAAAAAAATTTTTAATTAATAATCAATAAAATATTTTAATAAAATATTATAAGTTAGTTATAAATCATAACTTTCTTGCATTTCCTTGTGTTTTTTACAAGAAAAAAAAGTTGGTTATTTGTGAGAAAATTCAAGTATGAAGGAAAATTATTTTTTCCATCATTTTCTTTTTCATATTAACCAAACACATAAAAATTTAAAAAAATTTCTATTTCTTGTATTTTCTATCATTCTCCCGCTAAACAAACGAATCTTAAAAGAAATTCCTAGAGAAACAACAAAATTACAAAGTAAAAAAAAAAATATGAAAATAAACAGTGCAAAAATAAGTTTGTTATGTTGTTTGTAGGAGTGTTGATCATGAATCCTTTTTTTGTAGTGTATGTCTCTGTATTTATAAGCGGTGACTTTTAACCGTTGGAAACATCTTTCTAGACCACTAAGCCTATATTTTTTGGCTTCTCCCTCAATAGTTATCATTGCGCCCTAAACCATCTATAATCGACAGCTCCACAACATCACATTTTGACATGACTTGAGATTTGTAGATATCTTCCCTCATAACTATCCAATCGCCTAGCACCATTCCTGATTCATTCCTAGTACCACATTTCCTTATCAAAATTTTCATATTTTGGTGTAATCAAAACACATGCTGAGGTTTTATTTCAATAGCCACTTGTGACGCCACCAAAGGAGAACATCAAATTGAGTGTCGTTAAAAGCCATATATTTTCTCATGCCCCTCTTTTTACTTGTCTTTTTTTCATTCACTATAAAATAGATTCTCTGTTAACTCTCTTGAGGGTTCTTTTACCCGTAATACATAGATTGATTACAATATTTATCGATCTTGCACCTGGAAGATATAATATTGTAATGTCGATACATATTTGATTGAATTCTCTCATATTCCGATATTTTTGCGAATTTAGAATAACATTTATCTGAACTTAGTAATTGATGTGCCCAAAAACCTGGATTGGTTCTTGAGATCGATTTGTTAATATGAATCTTATAAATTAAAAGATGAATGCAAGGACCAAAAAACAAAGTTGGATTGCAAAAATGGTGTGCCCACCAGCATACTTTTTATCGTTGGCTCAAATATGAACAGATGGAAATAGAAAATAAAATTTTGTCAATTATTAACCTCATGATACTAGCTCATATGAAAAGATTTAAAAAATTACTTACGTTCGTAAGAGATTTGTAGTGTTTGTGATTGATTATAACATCAGTAGTCAGTGTTATTGTCATAAGTTTTAAAGATGCGTGGTTGAAATGATTAGTCGTTATCAACATAAAGATAAAAAATAAATAAACAATCCAATAAGTATTTGGGCCAGCTATACACCAAGTGGAGTAGCTTCAAGATATTGAACGAAATTGAAGTATGGTGATTCAAGCACAGGCAAGCTGTATGTGGAATTGGGGGGGAAAAAACCCTAAAATCAACATAACGCATCCAAGACATCAAAGGTCTCCAGAGACTCTCTGAAGCACAATCCTAAGAGGTGGTTCTGTATTCCCAAATTAGAAATGAAGCATCTGTCACTCTTAACAAAAACAAAAATAAACGCGGAAGCTGCCTACTGTTTACCTCTCTTAAACTCCGGTCTAAGCGAGTCTGATGTAGTTGGTACGACTTTAATCACGAAGAAAATATAATGGAAAACACAGTTCTCAAAATATACAAGCTAGAGATTCGTTCAAACTGGTGAACAGTTCTGCACAGTAAGGTAGCTTGTATGCATGATAAAATACCAAATGAAAAATATTATGTTACCATGCAAACTGCTAATCCATAGTCTTGTCTCAGGTGCATAAGAGTCCAGTGTTGAGTCTAGTGATGGGATATGGTCATTCAACAGCTTGCGTGCAGTCGAAACTTATTCAACTAAAGATCCAAAAACCTGTTTCATACATAGTCCCATATATCCACATTTATAAGGACAGGCACACTTTAGTATTCAAATAACATTATCTTCTTCATCACATGAAAAACAATTGACATGAGGTATATTTTTCTTACAAGAGTAGAAAGTTTAGTATTAGCTCCTTTATAGCACCTAAGGAACCCAAAAAAGTTTCAAAATTCTACACTATTTGGAAGCAATTGTTATGTGGGGAGTGAGCAAAAAGGAGACCCAATTGGAGCAGCAAGGCCAAGAAGCCGCATTATCCTGAACCGGCGAACCTTCCTCGATGATTTCACTGGAAAAGTAACCTCCTAACAAGAAAACAAAAGAAAACTGTAAACAAGTGAAAGAATTGAAATCGATACACCACAGATCCGATGATTACAACTCACATCAAAATGCACTTTTGGCTTTCTTTCCCTTTTGCTTCTCCCTATTCCTAAGTAATTACTTTCGCTTCTGCTGGAACTTGACGAATTCCACTTATCTGTTGAATCAGGAGCAGAAATTTATAAGCAAAATTCACAAGAGAAGATAATTCAAAATATATGTACCTTTATAGGTTACATTCTCCGCTCACTCCATTAATAGCTTCACCTCGTCTAAAAGTGAAAAGAAGAAAACTGATAAAGGGTCCAATCAGAATGTTAATTTTAGTGAAAAACAGAAATCCAAATCGGAAAGTAGTAAATTGAAGATCAAGAGATACCAAAGAGAAAACACTTTCAATGTTTGAGGTCAATTATCTAAATTGAGTGTGAGATTGGTGACAATGTTGATAGAATCAAACATGATGGATGAAATGGAGGAATGTACCTGGTGCGTTATGTGATAAGCGCATACCTCTTAAACTAAAAGGACATTTCTACAAAATACCTCTTAAACTAAAAGGAAATTTCTACAAAATACCTCTCAAACTAAAAGGAAAGTTCTACAAACAACCATAAGACTAGCCATACTATCTGGTGTTGAATGTTTGGAAACTAAGAAACAACACATTCATATAGAGTGTGGCAATGAAAATGTTAAGATGGATGTGCAGTAAAATTAGGAAAGATAGAACTAGGAATGAGAATATCTGTGAAAATATAAAGATAGTCCATATAGAAGAAAAATTAAGAGAGAATTGACTAAGGTGGTGTGGACATGTTTATATGAGACCTGCTAGTGTGCTACTGCACAAGTGAAAAAGGGTGATGTGATAACTACTGACGGTAATTGAAGGGATAAAGGAAGACCAAAACCAACCCTAAAAGAAGTAGTAAAAAAAGATGTGATAGCTTATGGTTCAACAGAAGTAGTATTGTCCCTAATAGAGCACAATGGTGAAATAGGATTCGTATAGCCAATCCAAAAAAGTTAGGACAAGACTTTTGTTGAGTTAAGTTGAACAGTTAAAGGGTTCAAAAATTTTGTGAATGCATGTTAGGCTGTCCAAACTTTCCTTACATAGCCCGTTATATATGCAATATCATGTAGCATGTCGACTTTTAGGGGTGAATTTACTAGAAGTGCATGTATAAGAAAAGAGAAACCTGCACTATGTACTTTTATGTACTCAATTGCAGCTGATGGTATAATTTGTTTTCAAAATTCAGCCAAACATGCAATCAAATACCAGCTCCCATTTTTGCTAAAAACAAAGAAAAAGGGCTTCTGTTTTGGAACCCTTAATTTTGTTTTTTCTGATGGACAGACCCTCTGGTAACGGCTAAAAGTAAAAGAGCAGAACCACCACAGGTCTCCAGCACATACTTGTAATATGTAATAACAGTCAACATTTAAACCCCGTCAAGATAAGTGTTAGTACGGCTATCCATATCTAAAAATGAGTCTCAGCATTTGCAATTTCTTAAAGGTCATATCAAGGAGCTAGACAGTAGAACGTCGGAAGAAGTCTTAACTAAGCCCAAAGGCTAGAGAATCCGAATCTCAGCTCACATTAGTTCTATTAGTCTTCAAAGTGTCATAGTCACCTTCGCTCGCTTGGGGGCTAATGTTTTTTAGTACTTCTTTCTAAGCCAGCTTGCCGAGTCCCGTTTCTCCTCCTTCAACCGCTTATAGGTAGACAGGTATCGTCCACGGAATCTGTTCCCAGTGAATTCATGACATTCATTCACCAATGGGGGTTTGTTCCACGAGGCTGCACTGGCTAGGTTGGTCCAATTCTTATAGGTTTTAGGAATACGCCAAGTAGCCTGTTTCTTTGTCAATCACCAATACTACTGGTGGTGTTTAACCCATAAATTATAAAAAGAAAAGTATTTTCCAAACTCATCACTTGATTTCTGGCAAGAATGTCTACAAGTTAAACTGAATAACTGATTACATACCAGGTGATCGATCTGAAGAATTCGGACAATTACACCCATCAGGGGATCCAATCAACTGTTTGCATGCATTAGCACATTCCTTCTGATGAGAATCCTGTGCGTAGAATAATTAAAAACAAAACATATCGTTCAAAACTTAAGTCAGCAGAAATTGAAATAAAAAGTAAACCTATCGAAATTAGTGCTAATTTGCTAGAATATCATATTTTCAAATGCATCTTGAAACTCTTTGGTAGAATTACAGCTCCTTTCTTCAAAGCATTTGAAAGATCAAAACAATGAAATTCTTATGCTAAGTATTAAGGATACAGCTAATACCAAACAACAAACAGATGGAAAAAAACACGTTAACAGAACTGAGTTCTGACATAATTTCAGTTCCTACACGGCAAACCAAAATAAAAGCAAAAAATATCAAATGGGTGATAGATGGTTATGGGCTATGGTCCATTGAATGGATGACAAAACAACATATTCCTCTATTGATATACAAATAAACTTGCAAAAGACCATTCATTTCTAAACTGACTAGCCTCAGATTACCCTTGTAACTTACTTCAGCAGGCCGCCACAACTGGTGAGCATTTTTTGCCCCTGCTACACTTCCTGGAGTTCCGCATAGATCATTGCTCTCTGTAAGTATTAATTTATCCAGAGAGAGCTGTGAAGTTCTGATAGTATCACTTCTTTGTTTATCAACATATCTATAGGAAAAGTCAATCATTGGAGAAAACCAGTTTGAACTCACCATAAAAAACAATTCTGCAAAAACAATCAATAATGGAACTAAAAAGAGAGAGCCATCGGTTGTTTTTAACTTTTTACAAGCAATCAAACATTTTCAGTGATGTTATTCTTGGAAGTGATCTGAAATTCTGAGGTAATAGGCCTTACCTTGGATCATTTTAACATTAAAATTATTCTCTCATTCAAAATGGAGAGCTAGACATTAAAAACAGATTTGTTTGAAATATTCAAATTAAATGATAACAGCAGCCAATAATAAATCTCACCAATGTTACTGTCTCCCAAGTCAGGCTATTACGTTCCAAATTACACTCAGATTAAATTTTTAGTTAGGATGATTAGGTGAAGATCAGAAAGACAAAAGAGTAGAGTTGTGAATTCATCTTATAGTTGTTTCTAGATTTTGACTCATATGGTAAAGGAGCAGGGAGGAATATGCTAGGTCTATTATCTGAATCTTGCCTAGCAGGTGGGGGAGGGAGAACTCATATAGATTTCACGTTACAATGTGTCGTTAGCTCTTGGGGATGCAGTCTTGGTAATGTGTATCATCTAAGTCGGGTCTAAGTAGATCAATTTTCAGATGCATTCACACAGGAGTTCGAATTCACTAGCGAAAGTGCTATTTCCCTGTATTTAGCAAATATCCCATCTTCATGAAACCCTTATGTATGAAAACAAGTGGTCAATTATCAGTAATTTAGTTTTCAAACACCAGTCTATAAAAGAAATAAAATTCATTCTGCAGATAAAGAAAATGCATAGATAAAGAATTTTTGATGGGTTGCAATTTGCAACTGTACCCACAATTCTGACTCCTACCATGAATTCAAAAATATTTTAACGCATCTTGTAGCAAAGCTCTGAACATGTTAATCAAGCAAGTGCATGATTGTCATGTGTAAGAGACCAACCTGTTAGCACAAGGTTCCAAAAGTGAATCTTGGGCAAGTAATTCAACTTCTCTGACAGGAACTGCAGCAGACTCTTGCCTTTTGAGATGGAACTTGCAGCATTGATCAAGAACTTCACTTCTCATGTCCTTTGATTCTTCCGAAATTGCTACGCTTACACCAGATAATATCCTTTTGTTGCTGGAGGACTCTGGGGAGAGAGGGAGAGAGAGATTTAAAAAACAATTCAGTCCAAAGGAAATAAGGAATGTGAACTTAACAACAACAAATTAGGTTAATACAGCATTAGCTTTCTGCCTACTAGACAAAAGCAATTAATCCCTATGATAACTTCAGAGGTGTTAAACAGGACGATTCAGATGAAAAGAAATGAAGAAACAAACATCTGAAAAACTTGAATAAGTGCTGTTGTTATTTGTCTTGGAGAACAAACTGAATCAAGCAAGAACATAACGATCACACCCCATAAAGAAAAACTCCCCCAATCTTGGATTATAAATAGTAACTTCAACCTCTTGAAAAAGTCTTAATCTTAATATTACCGAGGCAAAGCCAAAAATATCAAATGAATTACATACACAATATCAATGCAGATTAGCAACATAAACTAACAACAAATAAGTCATAGTTTCTCTATGACACTCCTCTTTCTAATGCACATGAGTAATACATGGGATTCTCTCCTGGAGTGACCATCCTTCTTCAATTCTAAATACCAAAGAGTCCACAAACGGAGCAAATTTCCCAAATTTTGAGAAATATTCTTATAATCCCAAAAGTGTATCTAAATTGGCATTAATGAAAAGAATATCTTGGTACAAAACTACATAAAACTGATAACTAATATCGACTTCCACCATAAATAAAGGTCAAGCAGGTTATATAAATATAAGCTGATCCAATCTCAAGTCCTCCAACTAGTTGGCTAAATTTGCAAAACTGCAGCAATAATTTGATAAAGAGACGCAAGACATTCAGATTCAAAGAAAACGAGAAAATTTACAGAGCCTTAGATTGATCCCAACATAAAGATACTTACAACAAAACTTATATTGATACATACACCAATACATTCATACCCAGAACAGTCAAATTGTGAGAATAGACAATTGGGCGGAGAGAGAAACCTTGAGAGAAGAAGAGAGAGTAGTCAGTGCGACGTCTGTGTCCATTGGGGCTTCTGGGTTTGTGAGAATACTTAGGTATGTGATCAATTTGGCTAAAATCATCTCTCTTCTTTCTCCTATTATTGAGCATCTTCTTCTTCGCCATTGCTGCTAATTGAATGAGAGAAGAGAGAGAAAGATATAAGAGGAGAGAGAAGAGGGGAACCTAAAGAAGAAGAGGAGGTAATTGGCATTGACAGCGTGAAAATTGGGTAGGAGTGTGAGACCTCTCTCTGAATGGTATTGAATGCTATCATGGTATCATGCTAACTGCACTAAAATTGTAGCAGAACATAGTACGAGGATTATAAAGTTATAACATTGGCAAAACTGGTCGGAGTTAATAATTATATTAAGAGAAAAATTTTGATTTCATCGTCACGTACTGATGGAAAAGCAGCTGCAGATTATTGATTTGGGTAAAATATGAGAGGGCAAGAAAATTGCTAACACGGACAGCGATCCGTGCCATTTTGGGACTTGGCCAATTCCTTATTTTTTTTAAGGGCATGGTTATTGAAGCATAATTTGTGGTTTTCTACTCTGTTTGGTAAGACGGATGAAAAATAGGAATTATAAAAAAAAAGAGATATATATTTTTTATCTTTTAAAAAAAAAAATAAGAATGATACACTTTTTTTTATTTGTGTTTGATAGGATGGATGGAAAATAAAAATGACTAAATTTTATTTTATTTTATTTTATTATTTTTTTTGTGCCAGATAAAATTAGAGATGGCAATTGAGTTGTGTCGTGTCATATTTGTGTTGAGTTATTACGAGTTTGTGTCGAATATTAGTTAAATTTAACTCAACTCATTCAACTATTGTATCGTGTCGAGTTACGAATTGACCTATTTATTTTTGTGTCGTGTTTGTATTCATGTTGATCCACATAAACTTTGAATAAAAAATTTAACGCTAATATTTTATTTTCACTTAATTGAATTCATGTTAATATTTTTTCTACAAACTAAAAATTAATTTAAATAAATATAATAATAATAATAAGTAAAAATATATTTTTATATAATAATTATACAGTCCTTAATAAATAATTACAAATAATTAACATTTTATGTCTATAATACTAGTTAAACATGTTAGTATTGTGTTAATTTCGTGTTATCTTATAAACGAAAAAATAGAAAAAATGTTTATTTTTAAATAAACGAGTTGATGGTGTCAATTTTGAGATTGACGGGTTGAACTGAATATGAACTTTTTATATTTTTTGTTCGAGTGTCAAATCATTTTCAAGTTGGTATTATAAAATTCGTGTTGAGTTTTAGTCGGGTCATTGTGTTGAGTCAAAAATTTTCACCCCTAACTAAGATGAAAAAAAAAAATTAATTTTAATTTTTAAAATTTTAAATTTATTTTTAAAATATTATCATTATATTTTTATATGAAATTAATGTATACATAATATATGTATATATCAAAAGATATATAAACAAATAAGATACATCACAATACAAATAATTAACTTTTCATCCATTTTCCTTCCGATTTTGGAAGGATTAATTTTGGTGAGTTGGAAGAAAAATTAATCCATCAACTTTTTCATTCTTATTATTTTCTTTCCTTACCAAACATGATATTTTATTTATCACTTCAACTTTGTATCCTTCCAACTTTTCATTATTCCATTTTTTCATCATACCAATTGGAACATTAATGATTATGACTATTAGATTATCAATGGATCATAGCATTAAATTTTCTCTGGGTCTTAACACTATCAATCCAATAATCATAATGTATTAAATTCTCAAATTATGTATTTTAATTATGTTTCAATAGCATTATAAATTCAATAACATTACTCTTATTAAGTTTAATATCAAATTTTTTTATTTTAATTGATGTGGCATAATGTCCACCATTGAATATTAATAGCATCCACTTATTTGATGGTAAAAATTAGACAATATCATTTGGAATAAAATTTTTTGATTAACATAATATTATTATTTTAAAATTTGTCGAGCAAGATTGAAAAACAGAATTGTGGTTCTATTTCATCTACATTCACTTCAGGAATATAAATTTATGCTTTGTTTGGTGAGGAGGATGAAAAATATGAGAGATATATTTTTTTTCCTTTGTGTTTGGTAAAATAGATGAAAAATAAAAATAATTAATTTTTTTGTGTTATTTTTAATTTTTTTTAAAAAAATATAAATACATATTTTATCATTGTATTTATATATGAAATTAATGTATACATAATATATGTATATCAAATGATATATAGACAAATAAAATATATATTAACATAAATAATTAATTTTTTATCAACTTTTTCATCCTTCTTATTTTTCTACTTTAGCAAATATGATAATTTATCTATTTCTCTAACTTTCTATCATTTTAAATTTTTATTATTTTATTTTTCTATCCTGCCAAATAGAGTATTAGATAAATTAACCCTCGAATCCAAAAGCTGGAAGGAGTCTGTCTAGAGTCCATCCATCAGGCACAAAAGTTGACATCGATCGTTGTGCAAAATGGCCGATGGCTCAAATTAATAGGAAACTTTGACATTGTAAAAGAGTTATCGCCCGATATGTAAAAGTTATTCGAGTGGTAATGCTCCAAGTGCTCAAATTAACAGGAAATTTGGGCATCATTGTGTAAGGTATAACTCGACCCACAAATAATCGATTGGACCCATGGTTAGAATAATTTCTATTAAAACAAATCATATGTTTTGGGTAAATAACAAAAATTGTTTCATGTTTGTAAATTCGAAATATTTAAAGAGAAAATATGTTGGTGGTTGGTTGAATTTTTGGTCTCTAATACATTAACGTAATTAGAATGATATATTTTAGCTGTCGCTTAATTGAAATAAATAATTTGAATTTTTTAATATTTTTTTATTGATTGGGATTACGGATGATTGCACTCATTTTGGAAATTAATGTTACAAAAACGAGTTCAAAAAATATATAGTCGTGTTTTCCTCTAAATCAAGAAAAATTATGAGTGTAGTATGCTTTTAAACGTTTTCTATCTCTTTTTTTTTTTTTTCCCTGTTGATGGGTAAGAAACATTATATTATTTTGACTTAATTTCTATTGATAATTGTAAGTCACGGTAGAAAGCATTGGAAAATGAACTTATTCTGAGGGTTATGTTGTAGAACAGTATAACATAGATTTGAAAAATTAATTTAATTAATCATTGCCATTGATTTATCTGTGAGTCTTAATACATATAAAACTCATTATCTATTCAATGGTAATGATTCATTAAGTCNACATAGATTTGAAAAATTAATTTAATTAATCATTGCCATTGATTTATCTGTGAGTCTGAATACATATAAAATTCATTATCTATTCAATGATAATGATTCATTAAGTTNATAGATTTGAAAAATTAATTTAATTAATCATTGCCATTGATTTATCTGTGAGTCTTAATACATATAAAACTCATTATCTATTCAATGGTAATGATTCATTAAGTCAATAAATTAATCAATTTATAACCACAAATAGCATTTTCATGTATTATTAAGTTGTGTTAGTAATAGTGATCATGTTACTCATCGATACCAAAACAAAAAGTACAAAATCAAGAGAACCAAGAAAAATCCATCGATAATCTTACATAATCATTTATTGATATACTTAATTGAGCCACAAAAACTATTCATCTTGGCAATGATAACTATTGTAACTTTGTTGGGCAAGTGCATATGTCTCATTCTCTCTAGATTCTCTGTCATGGGCACCATGTAATACGGTAGTTTGCTCCACCGGTGCAAGTAAAAGTGCTAGTTTTATCATCATATGCATAGCTATAAGCCTGTGGGCACTTGCCCTTCAAGAAATTAGAATATTTTGTGGGCGGGCAAGTCTGCGGCGAGCCAAAACTGCCGGTGCAACAATACTGCGGTTGATTAAAGGCCAAACAAGCACTCTTGCAACCAATCGTAGCCCCATTTAGATTCCTCACGGCTAGCTCTGATGGACAGTTTGCGTTCAAGTCGACCGGACAAGCCGTCGATCTACAGTTGGATCCACCTTGTGGAATCACAGAAACCGGCAGGTTGAAACCATCTACAAGGCTAACGTCGTAGAAATCTTGTCCACCGCTGCCGGCTAGAGTGAACTCTACTAGGGTTGCTGGTGGTTTTCCTCCGGCACCATTGCATGCAACTTGGCCAGAACCACAGTCTCCGCTCAGACAAGTGACCCTTCCAGAGTCTGTTGAGCAAAACCCTCGGGCCCAGAACCGGCCTGACCATGAAGCTGGAACATTGATAGTTGACGATGCACCGGAAGCTAGCAGAAACCCAGTCGTAGATAATTGAGGCCTACCACCGCCGGTCAACGTCGCCGGCCAAATTGTGTAGGGACAGTGGTTTATGATTGTGAATGTTACTGAATGAGCCCCTGCAATACAATTTGGGCAAAGAACTTGTCATTCTTCGTGTTGGGGGAACCTTTATATATAGCATATCCATGCATGAAGATTTCGAGAGGACATGAACAGTATTACTTGTGACAAACTATAAATGTGATGACTGTGTGACGTTTGCATGTTTTCTTAAGGGGACTTGGATATCTTTGTGCCAATATATTTTTTATTTTTTCGATCATTCATTATAAATTTAAGCGAGATCCCAATCTCATCAATGTTCGGTAGATCATCTATTATAGCAAATATCGGGAGAAAGTGAATCGAAAGGAATCTAAATCAGTTATAAGGGGATACACATGATTTTTCCTAATCAAGAACGTCAAAAATACATCAGTAATGAAGGGGAATGAAACTGGAATCTAGGTCTTTTATCGAAGAAAGGCTGCCCTTACCAAGAGTGCAATGCCTTGGCTTCATGAAATACATGCTTAATTGGTATGAACTTTTATGGAGTCCATGATTATATTTGCTAAGGAATGAAGCATCCATAAAGGTGGTTTGTTTACCAAACCTAGTNATGAAGATTTCGAGAGGACATGAACAGTATTACTTGTGACAAACTATAAATGTGATGCCTGTGTGACGTTTGCATGTTTTCTTAAGGGGACTTGGATATCTTTGTGCCAATATATTTTTTATTTTTTCGATAGTAGATCATTCATTATAAATTTAAGCGAGATCCCAATCTCATCAATGTTCGGTAGATCATCTATTATAGCAAATATCGGGAGAAAGTGAACCGAAAGGAATCTAAATCAGTTATAAGGGGATACACATGATTTTTCCTAATCAAGAACGTTAAAAATACATCAGTAATGAAGGGGAATGAAACTGGAATCTAGGTCTTTTATCGAAGAAAGGCTGCCCTTACCAAGAGTGCAATGCCTTGGCTTCATGAAATACATGCTTAATTGGTATGAACTTTTATGGAGTCCATGAGCATCCACAAAGGTGGTTTGTTTACCAAACCTAGAACTTACCAAGCGTAGAAGTGCCAATATATGTAGACAACCAAACTTACCAGAGAAGAAGAAAACAACAAAGTACAGAGCAAAAAAAATTCCAATTGCCATCACTGATTGATTTCTTCGGATTAGGGTTGAAGTGCTGGGATTTATATGGCATATAGCCCAGTCAGATGTGGTAACATAATCTGGATTTNAATGCCTTGGCTTCATGAAATACATGCTTAATTGGTATGAACTTTTATGGAGTCCATGAGCATCCACAAAGGTGGTTTGTTTACCAAACCTAGAACTTACCAAGCGTAGAAGTGCCAATATATGTAGACAACCAAACTTACCAGAGAAGAAGAAAACAACAAAGTACAGAGCAAAAAAAATTCCAATTGCCATCACTGATTGATTTGTTCGGATTAGGGTTGAATTAAGTGGTGGGATTAAGGTTGAAGTGCTGGGATTTATATGGCATATAGCCCACTCAGAAGTGGTAACATAATCTGTAAGCTTAGCAATACGAATAATTCTGGATTGTTCCAATAAATGTTGTTTATACCCTTCAAGGGATAAGAAAAACCCCCTCTGATTGCCTTACAAAATCTAGAAATGTAACCATACCATTCATTATGCAAAAATGGTAAATGTTTTATGCAAAAATAGAAAACAATAATAATGAGTTAGTTATTAAAGCTTCCAGCCACCATGAGGTATTGTTGCTGAATAACAAGGAACCGGTGCAATCTATAGCTTCAGCCTATGCATCCACTGCTGGTTGACTAGACAGACCCAAATACTGAATATGCGTTAAATTTTTTTGGATTGGGTAACCCTTTTCCTTCAAAATTTCCTTTTTTTTTCAATGGCTAGGAAAACTTGGGAAAAGAAAAGTGAAAAAAAAGTTAACCTCGACAATTGCAACTAAACAATGTGGTGGACACGTATTAATACTATCAAATAAAGCTTAAACCAAACAACTTTCGTCCCTGTTAATAAGGTTTAATAAGGGTCAACTACATGACTATTTTTGTCATTCTATAATTCCAAGAGTTATAGACTGTGTTAAAATTTGAACACACGTATCTTTTTTCAGTTATATCAATATATACTAATTTTGGTTAATCCCTCCTAACTCTTCTAATAATTGTGATCATTTCTCTATTCATTACAAGAAAAAAATATTAGGTATAACCGTTACACATCAGTATCACATGGTGTAATCGTCCACTAATAAATAAACATGTTTACGAGTGAGTCTTACAAAATTTCATAACCACTTAATCATGTAATATATAAAGAATACAATTATGCTATTGGGACATACAATGGAAACATAAAATGGGACTTAATGAGATGGCATTTGACGTGAATTTGTTACCCCATTAAAGTTTCTCCAACTAGTTTATTCAAATTCTGACTCGATTCTCTCATTTGGTCTCCTACTTAGGTTTGCCTCTTCCCGCCGATTACCATTCATTCTGTCTTCTGCTAGCAACCCATCGTTACCATTATTCTGTCTACCAACAAGCAACGAAGCTCCCTCTACATTCGAGACACGTCTTCTGCGATTCACTCAAGGAATCCAATCAACACAAAAAACACCATCTTCAGCGA